TGTTCTTTTATTCAAGGTTTGGAAAGTGTAAATATTGTGTATTTCCTTTTTGAAATCAGGTTCTGAAATCAGTAACACAAGCACCATTAGGTAGCCAGGCTGTAGCCTGCATCTATTAGCCCAAGAGTTACTATTCTATTAATGCTTCTCCTGTAACTGAATACCCAAAACAACTTCACTTATCCCTCAGGCATGCTAAAAAGAGAGTCCAGTAGTGCCAATTAGCTTATATTGTGTAGTTTGTAAACACAGATAATTCATTGACTAGGAGAAGAGATGGAAAGGGACACCCCTGTAGTAGAAAATGCCCCAATTTAGGGACCAAGTACTCGCAAGGAACACAGCATCCTCTTGCAGAAGTAAATATCAGTAGTAGTAGCCACTTGGAAGATGACCGCCTAATTGCAAGAGCAAGGGCAGTTGGTGTGGACTATGAGTTTGCAAAGCCTGGTGAAGTGGAAACAGAGGATGACAGGAGAAAAAGACAGCGGCGAAACCAAAGAAGAATACCATAACAAGAGAAAAGGCTGCGTGAAGTTGTTGGAGATCTACCACCACCTCCACCAGCAGGGTCAAGTCAGCAAGAAGAAAATGCATGCAGTGCTATTCGTTCATTTGAGGTGGAGCAGATGACTTAATATACCTGAGAAGCAATGGGGATAACTCATTGATTCGGTAATCCTCACAACAAAAACAGAGCTGTATGCAAAATAGACAAAGGACCCACATAATCTTGTGTGTTGAAAATAGAAACAGGAGATAGATGGAGCATGCATAGCTTACGGAATGGTATTCCAGTAGATTTAACAAAAAAGGTGTTCAGTCCCTTTTAAATAGACTTTAATAATGTTAATCACATATAGCCATTTATCATAGTTTTAATCTTCGTTATATATAATCATTGTAAGTTTTTTATTCCAATAGAAGATTAAACATGTGCTCTTTAAAAGATCGAGGAGGTCAATTTTAAATAGTTTAAGAAGGGAGTTACGGGATTAGTTTAAGTTGTTTATACAAGGGAGTTGTGCAATATAAGAAGTGCATACTTAGATAAAACATTCAGTTGGGTTTGGGGTGCAGGCGCGATGTTTCTGATGTTTCTTGTCTCGTTTCAGTGTTTCTGGTTGTTGTTTTTCGATAATAATTTATTCATGGATAGTTGTGGAAAAGGTGACTTGTAAGGGTGGAGAATGGAAAACTTGTCCATCAAAAAAGGCCCCGTCCCCTTAATCACGTACACGTATAACATGTAAAAAAAATCTGTTGTTTTTTTGACTGACTTAGCCCTGAAAACAGCACTCCGCGAACTAAATAACACTTCTTAGTAACACTGTATAGATGTTTAAATATCTTTATGAGATACCTTTCCCACACTTGTACCAGGGTCCTTTTACGAAGTTCCTGGTCTTCACCAATACTACTGGAAGGTTTTCAAAAACATTTCTATATCGTTCTGAAGGGTAGAGAATGTGGGAGTGTTTGTAAACAATGTACGCGACATTGGACAATGTAGGGTTATCATCATCATTACTATCATTATCATTACATTATTTACTGTAATGAAATCGGCTATATATATTATGCCAGTACGGCTTATGTTGTTGCATCGTATGGCCCTCGTTTCTGTTCGTTACCGACCCCCCCCCCGGCAAAAAAATTCCCGTACGCCTATGATTATGGTTGATTACAACAGAACGCTGTTACTGTAGACACAATGCCATTTCCGTAGATTCTGTTGTGTAACAAAAGGGGACTTGGAATTTTGTAACAGAAATTTACTGGCGTGTCTGCAGGAAGATACAAGTTCGTGGCGCTTCTTAAGTGTTGGCAGATGAGGCTTGCAGATAATAAAATACTTCTCCCGCAGACAAATCACACCCTTTGGAAGAGGAATTGTATGCGATAGACTGCTTCCAAAATCTTCTAAGTGATCTGGAAGTTAGTGTTGTTGTCTTTAAGGTTTCATACATATGCTCACTGAGCTCGTGATCATTCTCTTGTTAGGGTTGTTAAATGATGCTTTATGGCTCGCGAAGCGAGTTTTGAAAGTGTTTTCAGTTAGTCCGACGTAAGTTTCGTCAGGTGTGCTGTCTTCTGTAGTTACGGTCGCTTGATATACAATGGATTTCTGAAGAGAATTGCCAGCCATGGAAACCATCCGACTGCCCCAATCAATTTTTCCACAGATCAGCTTCTGTATCATTAGGTTGACTCATTTTTATTATTTTCACTACGTTCTCATTTTTACCTGTCTCGAATAGCAGTTTTTGTTAATTTGCAGAGCAATTGTACTTACGTTTTTGTAAAATAGGTGTTAATAAAGTTTTTTTGTTTGTATGTTTTTTAATTTTCACGGTTCGAATCTCACAGATGTCCGTAATGTGACAGTAAAACCATAGTAGTCTAAACAATCTAAATAAAAAAATAATAAAATAAATAAGTAAGGCTGAGTGAAACCAGCATCTACCAGAGGTCACTGAAGCGGCACTCAACTTGACACATGACAGAGACGCCATCTCTGATGGTTTGTTTTGTATTTTTTGGTATTTTTTGCAGTATTTAGTAAATTTTCAAAAACTGGTTACCTCTGTTGATCCGGCGAAAATGTTTCTTTCAAACCTTCAGTCATGTGAATTTTAGTTCACGTGCTTTAGCATTAAAAATACTTTAATTTTTTTTTGGTTTGTCGTTTTCCTGTAGTCACTTGAATTCTCAAGTGAGAGGAATCTAGAGAGGATTAGTTATATTATTTTACCTTGAACAGCACAAGGAAGAGCAAACAACAGAACTGCCAGGAAAATCAATATATGCATCTCAGCTCGAAGAAAAACCTGGAAATGAGATAAGACAGAAAAGTTATTTGGTAAGAGATAGACATTCACTTCTATCTCAGTATCTTTGGGATCATATTTTCTCTCTTTCACTATAGCGCGTGTTAAAGAGTTTAAACCCGTTTTTTGTAATTTAACGTTTTTGAAACACATATAATAGCAAAATACAATTATCGAGTCCACACATAATAGAAGCGTTTCTACACCCCGTCAGATAAAAATAAGGGCGAATTTTTGAACGCAGAAAAATACGACTTCCAAATAGCTGCTATTTGCTTATTGGGCCTTATTAAAATGCAATTTATGATATAAAATAACTGCAGTATTTCGTGCAGCATCTGAACAGTAGATATTACCATCACCAACTGTAATGTATCGATAGTATTGTCTACCGGAAGTTGTGTTAGCGGAAGTTCTCGGATACTATAAACGTGCAAAGGATCATAGATATTTGTGTGGGCCATACTTTCCGAGTGTCATGGCGGCCGAATAAAGTGTAGTTTCTTTCATAGTTAAATCTGGTTTATTAAACGGCCATCCGGGCGTCATTGTTACATTGGCGACGAGGATTCAATTCGTTTTGTGAGGTAGTGGATATTTTGGAAGTCATTTGTGCGGAAAGTCCTAGTATTTTGTCAGGCAGATGACGGACAAAGGAACCACTTCGAGTACAACTTCAAGTTAACAAGCTTCGCCAACCGCGACGTTTGTTCCTCTTCTTGATGTGGCCAGCCTTCCTCCCTTCAATCCAAAGGAAGATCCCAACACCCTTGCAGTTCGCTGGAAGTTGTGGAAACGCTCGTTTAATCTGTATTTCGTGGCAAAAGGGATTACGAAAGATGAACAGAAAACCGCATTGCTGTTGCATACTGGAGGGTTGAATTTTCAGGAGCTTTACTACACGTTATTGACCGGTACGGATATAAAGTCGTTCGCTGAGAGTATGGAGTTGTTGGATAACTATTTTGCACCGCAGTTGAACGTCCCATACGAAAGGCATCAGTTTAGGCAAATGGAGCAAGCGTCAGGAGAGTCGGTGCATCAGTTTGTTTGTCGGTTGAGGCAGAAAGCGATCTTCTGCGAGTTTGAAAATGTTGATGAGGCAATAAGGGATTAGCTTATTGAGAGATGGAGGGATCCCAGACTTCGCCGTAAGTTCCTCGAGAAAACAAATGCGACTCTGAAGGATTTACAAGATTTGGCTCGTGTGCAGGAAGCAGTGAACATGCAGGTCAAGGCTATGGATCAGTCATCCGGTCAGGTGAATGCTGTTTCCGGCAAACCTCCCAGCAAAGGAAAAGGAAAAGGGACAGCGCAGGGTAGAAACAGAGGAAATAAGCCTGGTAAACCGTCTGGTGGTTCTCAGGAGACAAAAGTGAAAGGCTGTTTTCGCTGTAATTACACTGGCCATATGGCACATGACCCGAATTGTCCTGCCCGTAGCAAGAAATGTAATGCATGCGGCAAGATTGGACATTTTGCAGTCTTTTGCAAAACAAAGGAACGCAAACCTCTTACAAGAGATGACGAGGGAAGGAATAATACACGGGGTAGAGCCTATCAACTATCAGAGGATTCAGCCACTAGCCAACAAGATTATTATGCATTTACATTTGGAGTCGGTCAGCCTACAAGTGGTAGTGAAGTTGATTTGAAGGTTGGAGGAGTGACGTTACTAGCGGTACTTATTGATTCTGGAGCGTCGTGTAATGTGATTGACCAAGCAACCTGGGAAGTTTTGAAGAAGACTGTCCAGTGTGAGTCCAAGAAATCAAGAAAAAAGTTGTTTGCTTATGGACAGAAAGATCCTATTGAGATGATTGGGACATTTGTGTCTGAGATTGTGTGCGAGATCAGTGGCAACAGTTGTCCAGGAAGGTCCAGGAAGATCTCTACTCGGAAAGAACACTGCAGAGAAGTTGGGCGTGTTAAGGGTCGGTCCAGATGTGTGTTCATTAACTGTTGAAGGAAGTGATGCCGACATCCGTGAGAAGTATAGGGAGGTTTTTACAGGGGTTGGGAAGCTGACGGATTTTCAGCTGAAATTACATATAAAAGACGATGTCACGCCGGTTGCACAACCCGTGCGGAGACTGTCATCTGGGTTAAGAGCCAAGGTTGACGAGAAGTTGGATGAGCTGTTAGCCAAAGACATCATCGAGGAGGTGTCACACAACCCAACTGAGTGGGTGTCGCCGTTGGTTGTTGTCGCAAAGACAGACGGTGACGTTCGGATTTGTGTGGACATGCGCAGGGCGAATTCAGCAATAAAAAGGGAAAGACACCCCATCCCTACAACTGAGGAAGTCTTGTACGACCTTAATGGCTCAACTGTCTTCTCAAAGGTCGATCTCAAGTGGGGCTTCCACCAGGTGGAATTGGCTGAAAGATCACGCGAGGTCACAACGTTTGTTACACACCGTGGTTTGTACAGGTACGAACGTTTGATGTTCGGGGTAACATTGGCGCCTGAAAAATACCAGAAAATTGTGACGGATGTTTTGCATGGTTGCGAGGGAGTGGCTAATTTGGCAGATGATTTGATTGTGCATGGTTGTGGCATAAAGGAACACGACAGGAATTTGCATGCTGTACTGACCCGATTGAAAGAGAATGGGAACAAATGAATGGGAACAAATGCCAGTTTCGTCTTCCCAAGCTTACATTCTTCGGTCATGATCTGAGCAGGCAAGGTGTGGCGCCCAGTGAAGAGAAAGTAGCTGCCATCTTGAATGCAAGCCCTCCACAAGATGCTTTACAGGTCAGATCATTTGTTAGCTTGTACAGTATTCTGCAAAGTTTCTTCCCAACTTTGCGTAAGAAGCAGAAACACTCAGGAGCCTCCTGAGGAAGAATGAGCCTTTCATCTGGGGTGAAGCACAGGAAAGGTCATTCCAGAAGTTGAAACAGCTAGCTGCACAGGCCACTACGCTTGCATATTTCAGAGGAGACTGTAACACGCGTATTATTGCCGATGCAGGTCCACACGGTTTAGGTGCAGTGCTGACTAAACTTCAAGATGGCGAGTGGCGAGCAATCTCGTACGCGTCCAGAAACCTCACTGAAGTGGAGCGGAGATACAGCCAGACCGAGGAAGAGGCCCTTGTCCTAGTATGGGCTTGTGAGAGGTTCAACATTTATGTGTACGAGCGCAAATTTGAACTCGAAACTGATCACAAGCCACTCGAGTGTATTATTAGCAGGCTTTTAGAACCATCAGCACGTATCGAACGTTGGGTTCTGAGGTTGCAGGGGTATGACTACAGAGTTGTTTATCGGCCTGGCAAAGCGAATATCGCAGACTCTCTGTCAAGACTCAATCAATGTAACCCTAAAGACACAAGTGGGGAGGAATTTGACTTTGTCAAGGCAGTCGCTGAGGAAAGCTTACCTGTTGCCCTGACAGGGAAACAAGTCGAATTGGTTGCTGATAGTGACCCAGAAATTGCTAGCCTGAGACAGTAGGTTTTAAGTGGGGACTGGTCTCAATGTATGATGACAGCTTATGTGGGTGTCAAGGATGAATTGTGTGTGTTAGGCAAAATTGTTTTGCGCGGTACGAGAATTGTTGTTCCGAATGCTTTACGGGGAGAAGTCTTGCGTCTTGCCCACGAGGGACATCAGGGCATCGTAAAAATGAAGGCACGTTTAAGGACAAAGGTTTGGTTGCCAAAGATTGACTCAGACGCAGAGCAGGTGTGTAAGTTTTGTCATGGCTACCAAGTCGTAGGTGAGTTCCAGGTTCCTGAGCCCATGAAGAGAGTGAAGCCGCCTACTGAACCCTGGCAAGACATAGCCATAGACCGGATGGGTCCTCTTCCCACTGGAGAAAGTTTGCTCGTAGTCGTAGACTATTACAGTAGATTCTATGAGGTAGCGATCATGTGCGCAACAGCAGCTAAGAGAGTGGTGGATGTACTGACACAGATATTCTCCAGATACGGATTTCCATTTACACTCAAGTCTGACAATGGTCCTCAGTTCTGCTGTGCGGAGTTTGAGAAGTTTCTCTCTGACCACGGAATCGAACACTTGACTTCCACACCGCTCTGGCCGCAGGCCAATGGACATGTTGAAAGACAGAACAGAACTCTGCTTAAGACTTTGAAAGTTGCTCACGTTGAGGGAAAAAACTGGCGTAAAGAACGGCAGAAGTTTCTGCTAGCATATAGAACCACACCGCAAACAAGCACTGGTGTTACTCCTTCGTTCCTTATGTTTGGCAGAGAGTTGAAAACCAGACTTCCAGAGTTGAGGCGCGCTGGTAACCTTTTGGACGAGGGGGTCAGAGATCGTGATTGGAATCACAAGTTCACCCACAAGGAACATGCTGACAACAAGTGGGGTGCAGCCGAAAGTGCTGTAGTGCCTGGAGATCTGGTTTTACTACTGAAGAACACGAAAACGTCTGGCAAGCTAGAAGCAAATTTCGAGAGTGAGCCATACACAGTGCAGACTAAGGAAGGCAGTGAGGTGACGGTTAGGTCAAAGGAGGGTGTGGAATACAGGCGGAACAGTTCATTTGTTAAGCGGTACAACCCACCAGGGGAATCCCCGTAAGCCACAGAGGCCGCTTCTCAAGAAGCACCCAATACTCTTCCACTGAAGGAGAGTATAGCAACATCAAGACCAAGGCGGACTGTCAGAATGCAGGAGAAGTACAAGGACTATGTACTTTATGAACTGAACTCTGTTGACACGTTGGACTTATGTTGAAGTCTGTTAGATTTGGTTTCATGTTATTAGATTTTATTGAACAGTCTTATTGAGATAACTTAATGCCAGCAGAACAGTTTTCATACAGATATATTTTTTCGCTGTTAAGTGCCTTATTGACTTTTTCTCGTAGATTGTTTGTTTCTAAAGAAAGGAAGGGATGTAATGTATCGATAGTATTGTCTACCGGAAGTTGTGTTAGCGGAAGTTCTCGGATACTGTAAACGTGCAAAGGATCATGGATATTTGTGTGAGCCATGCTTTCCGGGTGTCATGGCGGCCGAATAAAGTGTAGTTTCTTTCATAGTTAAATCTGGTTTATTACACGGCCATCCGGGTGTCATTGTTACACCAACATCGATAAAACTTCATTTTTTGGGTCAATGGTTAGGTCCTAAGACATCAATTTTGGGCTTGCTTTTGTTTAGATTCACTTTGATAATGTGGAAATAATGGCTGTCCATTCATCAGTGTCCTACAAACATCATTAGATGATTCAAACTGATAGAATCGTGTATTCTAGAAAGGAAAACAATATAAAAATCGTTTCGCCTGCATATGAAGAAAATTGAACATTGCCAAGTAATCGGTCCCCGACATTGAGGTTTTGTACTATGTCGCCAGAGGTGGGTGGGTAGGGGGTCATTATATATGACATAGAAGATAGAAGGACCAGGAACTGATCCATTTGGGAGAATCAAAATCAAAAGTTGAAGTTTTCTCTCTGATAATTATTGGTATGACAAACAACAATTAAAAGCGCGTAAACAAGGTTACTTAGTGTTTGACGTGTACAGAAAGGGTATCCGGTCCGGAGATGTCCCGAGCCACAGGGAACACGCAAGTCCTATAACCAGCGGGTAGGGATGAATATTTTCGAGTACAAACGCTTCCCCCTGAGAAAGCCCTAATAATACCCCCCCCCACAACAGAAAGAGAGTCGCTAGAGACTGCTCCGGCACCACTCACCCAATTGGATAGTCCCACGAGGGCCCACTCTTCCCATGGGCCGGCCACATGTTAACCCAAGGAACTATAATATTGATAGAAGTCTCTTTCAAGTTACATAACCTGTGAACTATGGTGGCTCCAACGGCGTATACGAGACGCAAATGTTTCTTGTAGAACGAATTGTGTTTGTAAATTCTTCACGCAGTACAACGTTATGCTGTAAAAGGGAATTTAGGTGAACTGGCCTTTCCGAGCCTGTTTTATTGGAGTTCATACAGATTGTCGACTGTGTCAATACTTTGGAGGAGATACACTTGGGTAACGACTGAACGGCGAAAATCAAAAAGCGAAGAAGGATAATGAACTTGTACTTGGGGAGCCTAGATCGTCTCCAACTTCAATTTAGAGAGTTAAAACTCCTCGTTTATATAGAAGGAATCAAGGAACTTC